CACAGCTATTTGCCAGGCCCAGACCACGGCAGGCGGCCGAGGGGACTCTCACTCTCCACAAAGAAGCGACCACCAACACCTGGCTGGACCTTCAAGCCCAGCCTGCCTGTGTCCTCAGGGACCCCGTGACCATTCCAACACCAACACCCCAGGAAACAACCGGAAGCCAGTGAACTAAAAAGTGAACTAAAAAGGCCAGCGGGCGACTCCTCGTGCCTCCCGACCTCCAGGAATTTAACCCTGGGCACTTAGATGAACCTGTGTTCGGCTTACAGGACACAGAAAACGCTGAGAAAACTATCTCCCTGGAAGCCGTGACCTGAGAAAACCACGCCAAACTTAGGAGTATTTTCCACACGCTGTGCCGCACCAGATAAAATCTGCCTCTGTTTGAATCCAAGTGCTGGCGAGACCGGGCCCGTGGCACGGAGCCGCAACCCACACCATGGCACCGCTGCCTGGCAGCAGGCTTCGGCACCAGGTTTCAGGGCGGACAGGCGTCTGCGTCAGCCCAAACCCGAGTGGGCTCCGGGACAGTGACCTCTGACCCTGGGTGTCACCACAAACATGGGCCACTTTCTGGGTGTGAGGGCGGCAGCCCTCCTGACCGGCTCCTGCCAAGGGCTCAAGACGCTTTCCCACTGTCCCACCTGCCTGCCACGTCACCCGGTGCCAAGGTGGGTGCCCTGTCCCCAGTGCGTCCCCAGTGTCCCTGTGGCCTGTGTCCCCCCTTCTAGCCCCTGAGGCTGCTCCTTCCACTGCCCCTGCTCCCCGGCCCCAGGTCTGACGACCGAAAGAGAAGCTGCAGTTAGTGCTTGCTTCGGCAGCACATACACTACAACTGGAGAAGCAGCTGTTATGGCCCTGACACCCAACCGGCGCAGTGCTCAGTGATCCCCACCCCAGCACCCCAAAAGGTGCACGACAGGTAGAATTGCAGGACAGGCTGGGGTGCTGTGCACACCAAGCTCTCCCCAGCCGTCACCTGGGCCTCCATCCTGGGGGCTCCCCTGAGCCCTGGCCGTGTCTACACCCTGCTTACACCCAGCAGCTCCATACCCCTGCTCCTCAGAGGGGCTCCCCAACACTCTCCACTCTGCCTCTTGAAGAGACACATGGGTCCGCCCTTGGCTGATCAAGTCACGCCTCTGCCCCCAGGGCCAGACAATGTCGATCACAGGACTCCACAGCCCACAGCGGCCAGAGCTCCTGAGGGGAGACCAGGTCCTGTCCTCACGGCCTACATCTCCTGCCCCGGGTGCTGCTACCCAAAGCAGGATCGCATGGGCATGCCCACCCTTGGTCTGCTCAACGCTGCGACGGAGGAGGGGCCAGGACCGCCCAGATCAAGAGGCAGCGGCAGGAGAATCAAGCGTGCTAAGACAGCAGAGACAGGAACATTTCCTGGCACGTGGAACATGGTGGCTCAACTTGTCCCAACATCCTCACAGAGGGGCCCGGCTCAACCTCCTGCGCCTTTCTCCGCCCTCCCTGCCCACGGTGACCTGCTTGGCGGTGGCAGTTGGGCCGTGGGCCCGGGCATTTGCCCCCAACCTGCCACAACCTGCACCCCTCCAACCACACGCCACATCAGTACCCCCGGCCTCTCCTGCCCTTAAACAGCTCTGAGCCCTTCAAAGGCGCCTAACTCTTCCAGGATGGCTTATGTCACTCTCCAAATGCAGCTGGGTTCTACCTGCGGGTTTGGGAGGAAATGTGACACCAGACTCAGCCGGCACCTCTCAGCTCCCTGCTTCCTTGTTTGTAATCTTCTCCTTAAAAGTCACCTCAGCATCCTGCATTTCACTAGGCAAATACTCGTTAAAACTTTATCAAGCCTAGACGACTTCACACCACCCACTCCCTCCAAAGTAAACAGCGAAAAGGTTACTCAATCTCTATTCCGCTGAGTTCTAGTATTTTCTAACACGTCTGAATGACTCACCAACCAATCATCTCTACCCCTCAAATGCTGCTTTTCCCACATCTACTGGTCTGCAACAGGCATCCAAGGAGAGGCAGGGGCTGACCGCCAGCGCGTCCTGTGAGGCATGGCCGGGCCCTGGACCCAAGGCACACACGTGCTCTAGAGTTAAAAACACCAATGTTGCCAGGCGTAATAGTACATGCCTATAGCCCCAGCACTTGAGAGGCTGAGGCAGGAGTGTCACCAAGAGTTCAAGCATGGGCTACACAGTGAAGTCAAGGCTATCCTGAACTACAAGACCCTGTCTAAAAAAAGACAATAAATCAATCAATTAGTACAAAGCACCGCTTATATAAATGCCCGGGTGCTGCTGCTCAAAGCAGGGTCCCATGGGCACGCCCACCCTGAGGCCCGTCAGCCAAGCACCGCTGTCAAAAGTCCCTATGGTAGGATTTAAGATGTCACTCAGGGAGCTGGGC